GTATTTTTGGCTCTACTTATTTATATAAAGAATATTATTTTGTAAATTTGATAATTCTTCTTAGACCTTTTAAAATTGTGAATTTTCATGGGCCTCATGGAGTTCTTGAACTTTTTCTGATTAAATTTTTATTTAGAGCTAGTAAAAAATAGAAAGACATTGTAAATTAAAAACATGTGTCAATGTTGCAATAGGCATTAAATCTATCTAACTCAATTTCCACTGTGAAGCCATCCCAAACTAGGTTCCTTTGTTCTCATGTCTTTAAATAGTTTTATATTATATTTAATATTTTCTAAATGTTAGAGTAAGTGTACTAAAAAGATTAACACATTTAGTGGAAAATGAATACTAAAATTTATAAAATCATAAAATATTAATAAATATCAATTAAGAAGAATGCTTAAATTATTTGTATTTTCTTATATATAAATATTCAATGTTGAATTGCATTTTATTGGGCAATTAATTAGCCTTCCAATATGTAACTTCCTTTTGATATAAATAATGATTTTAAATTAACATCTTAATGGGTTACAAATTCACCTTCTATAATTTTTGCCCCTTATGCTTATAAAGTTGGATATTAGGAGATGAGCATAATTGTAACAATTGAATTATCTAAACAATTACAATTATTACAACCTGGATCAAAAAAGGTATTATTTTGAAGTGTTATTAATGATTTTTGATTATTATCTGAATAACTCTTGCCTTAAGGTTCTCTTTGAACATCACTTAAACATGTAAACTAATCTTAACAACTCGAAGATAGTTTATTATTATCATTTGAGATAAATTCTAATTAAAGACTATTATATAAATGATCTTTTATTTAAATATTTTTGTACCTGTTTTAAAATTCCATAAACGGATCGAATAATCTGTACTGCAAGATGCTAATGTAGTACCATCAGGTGAGAAGCATACTGAATTAACCCAATTGTAATGACCATCTAATTTAGATTTTTCTTGTCCTGTTTCAATAACCCATAACCGGATAGAGTTATCTGCACTCCCAGATACTAAAGTAGCCCCTTCAGGTGAAAAACATATTGAATTGACATAGTTACGATGGCCATTCAGTTTAGATTTTTGTTTTCCTGTTTTAATATCCCAAATACGGATAGAGCAATCTTGACTACCTGATGCTATAATTGTGCCATCAGGTGAAAAGCATACTGAATTTACCCATTAATAATGACCATCTAAATTAGAATGTTTTAGTCCTTTGTTAACATTCCATAAAATGATTGAGTTATCTCTACTACCAGATGCTAATATCATGCCATCAGGTGAGTATTTCACTGAATTAACCCAATCAATATGACCCACTAATTAAAATTTTTTTTATCCTGTATTAACATCCCATAAACAGATAGACTTATCTGCGCTACCTGATGCTAATGTCATACCATTGGGTGAGAAACATACAGATAGGACTCCATTATGATGGCCATTTAATATATATTTTTGATGTCCTGTCTTAACATCCCATAAACGGATAGACTTATCTCCACTACCAGATGCTAATGTAGTACCATCAGGGGAATAACATATTGAATTAACCCTTTCAGTATGATTATCTATTCTAAATATTTATTTTCCTGTTTTACTATCCCATAAACGGATAGAGTTATCAAAACTACCAGATGCTAATACAGCACCATCAGGTGAGAAGCATAAAGAGTTAACCTACTTATTATGACCATCTAAATTAGAATTTTGTAGACCTATATTAATATCCCATAAGCGGATAGACTTATCTGAACTACCAGATGCTAATCGAGCTCCATCAGGTGAAAAACATATTGAGTTTACCCAATCAAAATGACCATCTAATTTAAATTTTTGTAATCCTGTCTTAATATCCCATAAACGGATAGATTTATCTTTACCACATGATGCTAATGTAGTACCATCAGGTGAGAATTTTACTGAATTGACCCAATCAATATGACCATCTAATTTATATTTTTTTTCTCCTGTCTTAACATCCCATAATCGGATTGTATAATCAAAGCTACCTGATGCTAATGTAGTGCCATCAGGAGAATAGCATACTGAATGGACAATATTCATATGACCATCTAATTTACAAGTTTATCGTCCTGATTTAATATCAAATAATCGAATAGAGTTATCTACCCCACCATACGCTAATGTAGTACCATCTGGTGAAAAACATGCTGAATAGGTAGTTCCATTATTACCAGCGAATTTAGATTTTTGTTCTCTTGTCTTAACATCCCATAATCGGATTGTCTAATCAAAACTACTAGATACTAATGTAGAACAATCAGGTGAGAAACATACTGATTAAACACTACCGTTATGACCTTATAATTTAGTTATTTTTTTTCCAATTTAGAAATTCCATAAATAGATAAACTTATCTGTACTAGATACTAATGTAGATCCATCAGACGAGAAGTTTATTGATTAAACGCTACTATAATGACCTTTTAATTGAGATATTTTTTTTCCTGTCTTAACATTCCATAAATGAATAGATTTATCATAACCACAAGAGGCTAAAGTATTACCATCAGGCGAAAAGGATACGGAAAAGATACTACTGTGACAATCTAATTTAGATAATTCATGTATTTTTAAATTATTCCATTTACAATTACATAGATAAGCCTTATTTAAATTTATTCCACTTATATCAACATTATGAAATTAAGATCCTCCCAAATCACATTTGTAAAAATTAGCTCCAATCAAAGAAGTATTTTGAATCTAAATGTTTTCAAAACATTATTCTCTCAAATCTACATTCATATTAACTAATAAATTAAGTGAATTTGATCCACATTAAAGAAATTTATTATCAAAAGCTGTAAGTCGAACTAAAAATTTCAAAAATTCAGCTACTTTCTTTTCTCCTGATATTTTTTTAATTATTAAATCTCTACTTTCAGTATAGATTCTCGTTGAATAATTATTTTTATTAAAGTCATGTTCAATAATTTTTTTGATTATGACAGTAATTCTCTTTAAATTACTATTTACTACATTTAACCACTATTGCTTATCAGAGCATGCTAAATTTTAAACTAAAACAAAAAATTATTCATAATTCTAATGATTCTAAACTTTTTCTAGAAATTCTATACAATCTGAAATTTTCTCCCTTTTTAACATATCAATTATCACGTTGTATACATATTGATCAACATCTTTTGTTGAATCTAAAATTTCATACAAAAATTCCTTCTCCATTAAATAAATATGATGTTCGATTTTTATAAAATATATTTAATATGATAATTGTTCAAAGGATAGATATTAATGGATATCAACCTAAGAGCGGGTTTTAATTTAAATCATTAGGTTTCAAAATAGAGAGCAGGTAATATGACTTGAATCTTTACAAGGTATGGAGAAACTAAAATTTTTTGTTTCTAAACAATAGTTTTTCATATCTAACTTGTTAGAATCCTAGAACCTCAAAATAATCTCAATACAAGAAATCGGTGGATTTCGAAAATTTTTCCTGTTTTATTTACATGATTTTAAATTAATGAAGATACTTTCTAAAATATTTCGTGGCTTATTTGCCAAGATCTTGTTATAAATCTATTATATTATTCAAGAATTATTAAAACTCTTAGTTTTCACTATTATTTCATATATATCATTCAATATTTTTATTTAAATGATTAAGGATTTAACTTTTTTTAATTAAGACAAGTGAATCTAATTTTTATCACTTATCATAGCTTAAAAAATTAAGTTATTTTATCCAATTTCTCAATATGAGCCTTATTTGAGGAAAATTTTAAAAATAGGAAAAAAGAGTAATTCCTTATATTCATTAAATCTTAATATTTACGTCAATAATATATCTATAAATAAATAAATAACTTAACATTAATTTACTGCAGCAAGGACATTATAATCAATCTAAATATTGGGCTATAACAGATCAATTTAAATGGCAAAAAAGTGAACAAGACTGTAATAAAATTTTTTTAGGAATAAAGAGATAAATCAATTGCACTATTTTATTACATCTCAGGAATTTAGAATGAGAAAATTATATTTATAAGCTTTTTTGAAGAAATTCCCATTTTTTTAAAGTAAATTATTGAATGAAAACGTGTTGATGCATTGTAATAAATTAGTCAAAAATGCACTATTGAATAATTATCCTTAGATCTTAAGGTTGATTTATTTTTAGCAAATATATGTATTTTTTTTATTTTTAACAACAATTATTATATTAGAAGTGTATAAGGTTTACATTTTGGTATATTTATTGTTCTTGAGCAGAGCTTTAAATTGATTATCATCTTTACTATTTAATTCTAAAATTATATTGGAAGAAATTTAGTATAATAAAAAGTTTTTTTAAATGAAGTAATCTTTATTACATCAAACGATCTTATATTATTATATCAACAATGCAAGAGGTTGTTTGCCTCTTTTAGCTAATTGACATCCAGAGATTATGGAATATGAGGCTCTGATTCACACATAATCTTTTCTTATCCAGTCTTCAACCCATCTCTACAAAAGCCAGTTTGGATTTTTAATTAATTATCTGTACATATCATTAATAAAGTCTGCCATAAGTTAAAGCACTAAAAAAATATCAGCTTTTAAAGTCTAGACTATGAATCTTTATTTTGATAATTTGTTGCAACCAGAGTTTTTATAAATATTTTAAATAAATTATGTTATAATAAATAAATAATGTTATAATAAATAAATAAGTTTTGAATTAGATTAATTACTATTTTCACTTGCTCTTCTATTGAGAACTTATAATAATTCATAGAAATCTTTTATGAAATTTATCATTTATTACAGATTAATTGCTGAAGCAAATAATTCATACAAAATAGGAGATTAGTTTAAATGTATCAAATGATGTTATATTAAATAATTCAGATGTAGTATATGAATTTATTTATTTTGATGGTTTATCTATGAAATTCAGAAATTTTTATTTAAATAATGTTCAAAAACAGTCCATAATTAATTGAATTATAAATCAAAATACAGTTTGTAGTTAGTAGCGTATTTATTTTGATTCAATTATTCA